CAGTCCTGGAGTTCAGCTAGCAGCTCAAAAAGTCTCGTTCGCTCGTCTCTTGACAACATAGTACCAACGTCAAGATTAGGTACTGATTGTTCTTGAGGTGCTTCGTCTAGTGCCGATAAACTGCCTTGGATTTCTGCAGTATTGTCAAAGTAAGCAACAGCTGTACCCTTAGGGAGGTGTCGGCGTTCAGCACTGAAGTTGGTGACAGCAAGGTTTTGCGTCCCGCAGTGACAGTGGCAAGACCTCGAGCAACCGAAATATTATGGCTAAAAATCAGCGAGCTTATATGGTCGGCAATACCGTCGCTGTCAAACGGCTCATCCTCTGCCACCAAAAAAAGTGTACACGATCGTCGCGGGACGACCACAACGTCATCCGTCAGACGTAAAGGGTTAGGTCTCGGCTCTGAACAATCTACTAAAGCAGGGCTGTTGTTGCGAAGGTAATGACACTGTGGGTGACATTGATGACAATGACATGTTCTCTTAAGGAATCCATTCTGATAGTCAGGTCTTTACAGCATGAAGCGAGAACGACGAAGGTCACCACAAACGTAGAGCCACCGATGTCGAGCCTTGCTGTGCACATTCCGACAGGCATCAGGAATAGGCCGCATGCCGTCTTTAGGTAAGGTCCCATTCACGCTGTCTTTACTTTCTTGAGGCGTACGGCAACGTCATCACGAATAATAGAGAGAAGACGGCCCCGGTGTCGACTAAAGCTCTGACTTGATGTCCGTCCATAAGAACGGTAAGACATGGGGTCACAGTTTCGTCGGTATTACGTCTTGTCGGCTTTACAGCGTCCAGAGGTGAGAGTAACGGGGGCTTTTTTTTCTTCGTCTTGACAGCCTGCAACCTTACCCCTTGAAGTCACCGTGTTCAGTTTCCCCGGTGTGGGCTGGATGACCTCGCTCCTCTGGTGTCGACAAAAGTGCGGCATTGCAACGAAAGTGACTAGGCAGGAGAAGGAGAGCGTAGTTGATGTCGGAAGCCCGGCTGGTAATAAGTTATAATCTCGTCATCATTGTTACAGCGGCCGTCGAAGGGGGGTGGAGTCACCAGAGGTCCTTGAGAAGCGACATCGTTATGGCGGCATACGCAGTCGTTGGCATGTCGACTGTCAAACTATGGCCTGAAAGAGCGAAACGGATCGGTGCGGTGCCAGCAATAGCGGGCTATGTAGCCCACACCTCCGCAGTTGGAACAGAGTGAACGCCTGTCGACAGTGTGCCAGGTGTCTGTTCGGCGAAGCTATGGATGCCGTGACGACTCCTCACGTGACGAAGGCCATGGCAGCCCAGAAGACGACTGGTCGTATGGGGGCTGGATGGGTGGGCGCCACGATGTTTCCCCTTGTGGTGGTGACCAAGGAATGGTTGCAGGTGGTGGGTAGTATGAAGGCGGAGCGGGTGGGGAGCTTCGAAGGGCGACGCCGTATGTGATGGGACGTTGCTCGGGGGCAGGATCAACTGATGAGAATGCTTGGCGGATTTCATCATGGACGACTTGAGCGACAGTTGCTGTGGGTGTATCCACTACCGGAGTCCGCAACCTTTGCAGTTCTTCACGAACGATCTCTCTAATCATGTCACGCAAGGAGCTATGACTGTCAAACTTCACAGTGGCGGTCTGAATTTGGGGGCTGCTGCACAAGCGGTCATATCGTCGGCAGAGCTGGTGAAGTGCCCACTCGATAGCCGACGCTTCTTTCATGAAGTTCTCTATAGTGCTTGGTGGGTTACGCAGAAGTCCAGTGAACAGCAGCTCTTTCACGCCGCGCATGAGGTAGCGGAACTTCCTATCTTCGGTAATCTGCGGGTCAGCCCCCCGAAATATATGTGTCATGTCTTCGGCGCACATGGCAACCGTTTCACTGGGTATTTGGACCCCTAGCTCTTGTAGTTGGTGGGCGCGTTTACGTCTGTGGACATCGCAAAAAATTCAACAATCTGATGATGAAAGTCGGTCCATGCGGACAGGCTGCCTTCTCTGTTCTCGTACCAAGTACGAGCGCTGTCATCAAGATAGAAGTAGGCTCGGCCGAGCTTTTCCTGAGCAGACCACTGGTTGATCTTCGCAACACGTTCATAGTGATCTAACTAGTCTTCTACATCTTCGTGTGCGCCACCATCAAAGCGTTTAGGCTCCAGCGATTGAAAAAACGTTACCTGGGATAGAGTGGGAGGACTGGTGCCGAGAAGTACAGGCTGGGGGCTGGTGTTAGCCATTCTAGACGTCTTGTAGAGGGCTTCTGTGAGGGGTCGAACTCTGGAGGAAGACCTCGTAGCCAACGACTGAATCGATGGACAGGGGTTTCAATCGGCACGTCCGGGCTGAATGAACGGCTCCTACAAAGGGTGTGAAGCATCGGGCAGCGTCGCAGCCGAGCTTCTCCACCAGTGTCACAGTGCAACGTGAACAAAAGATGACAGCAGCTTACGGCAGCGAAACGAGCATGTTCAGGATCAGCTGTACAGCAAGATGTCTGCTTCGTTGTCGTCCCAAAAACTACTTGCCCACTAGCTGGAATCTACAAAACATTCCTATTGTCGTTCTTTTTCTTGTACACACGTGTCAATATATATATATATATATATATATATATATATATATATATATATATATATATATATATGTGTGTGTGTGTGTTGTGTGTGTGTGTGTGTGTGTGTGTGTGTGTGTGTGTGTGTGTGTGTGTGTGTGTGTGTGTGTGTGTGTGTGTGTGTGTGTGGGTGTGTGTGTGTGTGTGTGTGTGTGTGTGTAAATATATATATATATTTATATACGCAGCATAACAATGGTGATGGCACAAAGTAGCCGAGCATCTCCATATAATTGCCATCGCAGGAAAAATTGATGGTCCTTTGTGTCCTTTTTGTAATGTCCACCCCGCCTACGTGCTTCGTCTTTGCAGTCAAACAAAAAAATGGCCCCGTATCTGCATGTTACACTGCCAATGTCATCGGAAGACAATAGTTTTTCGTCTGGAGAGAGTGAATCAAATGATTTTTGAAGTTCTGCACAAGAAAATTGGTGAATGGTATTCTGGAGGTGCTGCGTTAGTGTGCCTCGAGCGTGCAGTGGAGGTGAGCGAGCGCCTCAAAGTCACTTCACATGTGAGGCATGAGTGTTCTGTGGCAGTTATCCTAGAAATCAAATCACGTGGCGTGTGCGCCCGTCTCTGAGGTAATAAGATGTAGAACGCAAGGCGACGGGTAGGTGCCACCGCCATTCCGTCTTAGCAAAGCGTTAGAAACACTTGCCTTTTCGTTCAAGCGTTACATGGTCAGCGCAGCGTGATAAACGCTATGGTCCTTAGAATTACTCATATATGCCTTTTCTAATAAAAAATACACACACATATTATTGGCGTGTTGTTTTGACGCCTCATATACGTGCAATAACTGCTTTGAATTTGACAAACGCACAAGTATGAACGCTGAACCGTGAACAGTATCGGTTGGCACTGCCTTGAGGACGGCCATTTGGAATAATATTTCATCTTTTGGTGCCATTTAGGGCACCGTTAAGGGCAAACAAACAGACAGACAATCCAAAATTTTCGCGTTTTAGGTCACCTAGAAAGACAATCGTCTGTAAAAATTGGCAGATACCACGTACAGTGACAATCGATGATATGCGAAGCACGAATGACGAAGGTAGATATTTCACACTAAAATCAGCAAAACGTTACGAGGTGGACGTAAATTGTGCCGTAGATGACTTCCATGTAATATGAAAGACGACAGTGTTTCTTTGGAACTTTCGACAAAAAATCTTGGTCTGTCTATCTGTCTGCACATTTGTATGTTTGTCCGTCTTTAACTATACCTCAAACGCCCAACTCCATTCGCAGTGCACACCAATATTGCTTAAGCGTCAGCGTTCATACTTCTGTGATTGTCAACCTAAAAGCCAATATTGCGCATACCTGAGGTGCCATAACATCACGTAGATGCTTTGTATGCGTGCCTTTATACTAGAGTAGGCGCACACAAGTGATTCTAAGGACCGTAGCATTTAATCACACAGCGCTGACAGTTCAACGCGATGGTCAAACAGGCAATTGTTACCAACGCTTTGCTAAGACGGCATGGTGGTGGTACCGGCCTGTTGCTTTGCGTTCTACACTTTATCGCCTCCGAGATTGGCGCGCATGCCTTCCTTCATTTTTAAAGATAACTGCCAGATGGCACTCGTGCCTAACGTGCCTCGATGTGCTCGTTCGCTTTCGCTGCACGCTTGAGGCACTCCAATACAGCACCACCAGAATACTATTCACCGAGTTTCTTGCGCAGAACATCAAATAAACATGACGATTGGTATAGCACGAGAACAGAATGACGACAGAGACAAGAAGCACACGAAGGACACGAGCGTCTGTGTCGTTTGTGTCCGTCTTGTTTCTTTGTCGTCGTGCTGTTCTCACGCTATAACTAACGTCATGTCATACCAAGTAGCCCAAGCAGCGACTCATCAAATAAACGTTTTGTTCGCTCTCACGTCTTTCGACAACATTTGCCGTGCAACAAGCACATTCAGGGCCAATTTTTTGTCATGTTTTGACGTGTCATTTACCTTCGTCGTCTATACACATCACTTCATACTAAAATTGATATATGTGGAGCTACCGAAACGGCCTCGAGCGCGGCATGATCGTAGCATGTAGTGATGTTTTGCACGACACCCATGTGATGATTATTATGTTTTGACATGTTATCTACCTTTCTCGTCCTTTCACGCTACGTAATACCAAAGTTTATGTATTTGAAGCTAGCGAAACGACTGCGAACGCATTACGAGCATAGGTTGTAGTCATGTTTCATAGCATGTAGGCGTGTAGTCAAAGCATGTAGTCATTATAATGTTTGAACATGCCATTTACCGTCGTCGTCCATTCGCGTCACGTAATACCCTGTCAAAGCATATAATTAGCCCTTCTTCTTGTGTGCTTATGCTCCCAATAATTGGCCCCATTGTGTCAAAACGTTACTTCAGATTCTCAGGAGCCGCAAGAAAGCGTACAAGATCGAAGAATCGCAGCATGGAGCAAAAAAGCAGAGCTTCATGGACATCCTTCTGCGTATGCACATGGAAGAGGGCGTTTTCACCTTGGACGAAATCAGGGAAGAGGTGAACACCTTCATGATCGGGGTGAGTGAAGACGTTTCACTCAGTGTTTCCTTTCTTCACCAATTTTATGACTTCCTTCTAGTGTAACAATGTACATACTTTGTCAAGAAGCAACTCTCTTGGAGTCGGTGGCATAAATAATGGGGTTCAGTGGGGATGCTGACCCACCTGTTGTCCAGGCTGGGATCCATCCCAACGGACCTTGAAACTCTATCGGACATCCATATAAAGTCCGAACGTCCAAGTCAATAGTAGATGTCCATGGGACATCCGAAGGGCACTAATTCGCTTTCTCTAGCGGATGCCTTCGAGACATATCGAGAAGGACGTATTGCAAGTATAAAAAATAAATAAATAATATATATATATATATATATAAATATATATATATATATATATATATATATATATATAAGTATATATATATATATATATATATATATATATATATATATATATATATACAACGCGTCCCGCATCGTATACATTCTACTTGGTATCTGTTTGATATAAAGCCATATCAGTCGCAATATATTCTCGCGTGTATACTAAGTTAACTGTTGTATATTTTTATTTTAAAGTATATGAATCTTTTGTGATGGTTACAACCGGTGTTGTTCATTGTTTGTTCCAAATTGTGTTTATTGTGTACCTTCAACAGAAGTTTCAAATTTCGTGCGTTTAAAATTACACGTTTCTTTCTTTTTTAAATCAAATTATTAGATGCTTTACTTACTTAAGTAGTTTGTATGTACATAAAAGTTACATATTTCATTCTCATAACAAAGCTTCTTAATCAGCATTAAAAGTTAAGATGCGCAAATGTGGTGTGCGTCTGTGCGGCTGTAACTACTTTGCTTGTTTGGGCGTGTTATCTGCTGGTCGACCTACGACCGCCTCTTGAATGGTTGTGTTTGAGTCGATTTCCCTCGTGTATGAAGTGTGCTTGGGTTCTGTATTCGTGTTTTGTGTTCTGCAAGTGCTGCTGATTACAAAGATGCGCTATATTCAAGCGAGGACGCATGGCCTCGTATTGTGGAGCACTGGCCAGGTATGTACCACATTTTTGCAGTCAGCGCTCTGTTACCACCACGTTCGCCACGTATTTCGTACCATGTGCATGATAAGCGAGATATCGTGTACGTGGCGATCCTCTTTGTAGGATTTATTCAGGGTAAAGGCAAGGTTGTGTGAACTTAAGTGGACGAGTTTTTCTTTTGCATGAAGTGTGAAGCAGAGAGTGCACGCACACGCAGCGGGAATTCGGCGGCAGATTTAGCTGAGTTGGGCAGTGGTGTTGGAGGTGGGCCCTGCTCGCGAGCGACCACTATATTTGTTTAATAATTCTGGGGCGTTAGCTGTAGTCGTTGATCATGGCTACAGCACGTACACTCATCATATTTATTGTGCGCCATTGAAGTGAACGTGTCTACGGCAGTTTAATACGCTGTACGTTTTATTTTAAGCAGCTACAGTTTTGTTATCTGTTATGACTACTATCAGAGAAGTTTTTTTTTTCCTTGTGAGTGGCCCAATGCATGCTGGTGTGTGCATTCTCACCGGCACGCGTTTTTATAAACTACCACGATATTTGAGTTGATGCGTGTTCGTGTGCAGCATGTTGCATCGTCTTAGGTAGGGCTCGCAAAGGTTCACTTACAATTAGGTGTTCATGCAGCTCGTTTAGTAAAATTTCAAGTTCCGGTATACATCTGCAACATAGATTACCTGATGCGGTGGCAACCCGTGCATTTTAAGCTAATCGTTAAACGTGAACTGCATCTTCGAACGAATATTTCGTGGCTAAATGCGGCCGAACTGCTATACCTTTCTTTGCGAGCACAAATTCGGTCCAAGCGTTCAAGCACCACAGATTCTACTCTGCTTGTTTCCACTATGTTTGGATTTCGTTGTTTTTTCTGGTTTAATAAATATTTTATGTGCCTCGCCCAACCTTGCTGTTGAAACCTTGCTAAACGTATTTTCACGTTTTTTTTTTTTCACTAGGCAGCCTGTGATACTTATGTGAGGCGTACTGCTTTTTTAGCCAACAAGAGTCATTGAAGAAATTGCGATAGTTGAGGAACACATAATAGAACTTTGATGAAATTAATTTTTGAAATTGCAGATATAACTGTTCTGATGTGAGCAGCCTGAAGAAAGCTATATTAGTTGTATTTGAAATCAAATTAATACTTTACTTTTATATGTTACCTGCAATGGTTACTTGATGAAAGTGCATACTATCATGTGTGTATTGTGGTATCATTGAATTTGCACGTGAACGCACTATGCACGGGCAAAATAAGTATGATTTTGACACATCTGTGACGGGGAAATTGAATATTATTTCATAAGGTCGCAACTGTGCTTGCCAATGGTGTTGTAACATCTCTGGTTTGTGTAGATCCTGCTAGTTTAGGACACATTATTCCAAATCATTTTAAAAGACTGAAGAACTCAGTTTTGCCAGGGAACTCATGGCACTAAATTGTTCTTTCTGTGTTTCCATCACAGTCTATGCATGCTCCTTGTGCAAACTCAGTGTGAAAGAATTCCGGACAAGCCTGTCATCAGTGGTAGCTCATGGAAACGTTGGCTGCAGATGTAGAACACGTGTGCATGGCTTCTGTTTCCTATGAAAAGGGAACTTCACTGACCCACGTGGTTACTTTATTCAAGCAGCTCGCATATTCAAGATGCTCCAAATTAAGCGCTTTGTTTTTCGTTGAAAAAGTCAGTGCTGCAAGTCATGTGTGTAAAAGCCACCTTTGCAGATAGCTGTAGGTTCAGGGGTACACAATGTGCAACAATATTTCCTACTGTCAGCCGTGCCGATGAATAAGACGCAATATTGAACTTATTAAAGACTGGAGGCCCCTAAGCATGTAATAAAAATTTGAGCCTGTCACATTTCTGCGTAGATCCAAAAACTTTTTGTATGCCTGTGCTTAGATATGCTGCAAGTAAGTTTAGTTGCGGCTTGAATCATCACGCATACAGGACAGTGAGCACTAGCCCACAGCTACTACTCCTTGATGGACTGCATATATTATAGCCATGGGTAGAAGCTATAGACAAAAATTATAATGGTTACCCTTTTACTACCAGCTGGTGATAGCTAGCAGTGATTGCTTGTCCCACCAGGGAGTAATACTTTGCTGATCCTCACTGTCTTGAATGAGTAATCATGAACAGCACAATTTAACTTTGGAGCAGGATATCTCGGAGTACAGACATTCTCGAAGAATTTTATCAAGTGGGGTTGTGTAGAAACACAACTGCCACAAACTTTTTCGTGCAAACATATCCACCTATTGTAGCCATTAAAATTTTGTTATTCTTAGTTTATTAGGCAGCTGACAGCATTATTGTCTTACTTAGTGTCTCCCTGGACACATAGCTGTTCTAAAAAGGTGGTTTTTTTATTCTTAGGGCTGAATTTTAATGCAAGTACAAAGCACATCTCTGAATGAGTAACCTGAATGGATCCTAAGTTTTTGACAGCATATATATTTTTTTCAAAATCTACTTAGTTGGGTGCCCTCAAGACTTGTGTGTCATGTTTTATTTTTGTGCCATGTGCAATCATACACTTTTAAAATTAATTTTTTTGCGTTGTGATAAGTCTGTGGTAGGTCAATGATTTTATTTCCATTGAGGGTTTGCTAAATATTTTATTTTGATATGTTTTTGTAACATTAGTTCATTGTCTTGATGAAGTTAATGTCATAGGTGCAATCAAGTGATTTCCTACAGTCATACCTAATCTCACCTAATTGCTATAGCTAACCATGTGTGATATGTTAGTGATACTTAACCAAGTTTGAAATTGTTAATGATAACTGACAGAAGGCATTCTGGAATATTATAACTTAAATCTATAGATAAACAGAGAATGGTGACATTTTTCAAACTACATAAAGATATATGCTTGCCTCATTTTGCGTAATATTTAAAAGGAATTATAATTGCTGGGTTTGACGTGTTCAAAACCACAATATTTGATTATCAGGGATGCCATAGTGAAAGACTTCAGAAATTTTGACCACCTGGGAAGTGCGCCTATGTTTAACTTAAGCCTATTCTTTTCTTTATTCTTTATTCTTTATTCATCAGATACCCCGCAGCACCCGAAGGCGTTATAGCAGGGGGGTTACATCAATAAATGACGTACATCTCCGTTCACCGACACAATACAACTTTGTTCACACATAAATAACTGAAATACATTTTCGTTCACACACATAGCAGAATTTTGTTCACACATAATATATCTTCGTTAGGTTACAGCATGGGTTTACAGCAGTGAATAAAATATATCTTCGTTCCCACTATGTACTTGCATTTCAGTTAGCCTGTTCCACTGTTTAATCGTTCTAGGAAAAAATGAATTGGCATACATGTTCGTTTTAACTGGGTATTCCCGAATTTTGCAACTATGATCAAAACGTTTTGAAGTGTAATGAGGGTTGTGTAGGTATATTTCTCTAATAATTCCAGTTTTATTGTAGTAAATTCAGTAAAGAAATTTTAATCTCTGCTTCTGGCGGCGGTCAGAAAGACACTCCCATCCTAGCTCAGCCTTCATTGCAGTGCAGCTCTCCCCCCCCTTCCGTACCGTCCCAAGACGAACCTGGCAGCACGATTTTGTAATTGTTCCAGAGCAGCAATGAAGGTTACCTCGGCGGGGTCCCACACGACACAACCGTATTCTAAGATAGGCCTGATACAAGTAGTGTATGCCATACGTTTTAAATTCACATGCGAACATCGCAGGTTTCTTTGAATGAAATTTAAAGCCTTACCAGCTTTGGCTATGAGAGTGTCAACCTGAGGCCTCCATGAACATTCAGATGATAGTATTATACCTAGGTACTTATATGTACTCTCTTGTTTCAACTGTACATTGTTCAGATGGTACTGTGACTGAAATGGTTTCATCTTTTTGGTAAATGAATATGTACACACTTTGTTATATTCAAATTCATTTTCCATTTGGTACACCAGCTATAAATGAG